CATCAAAGTCCAGGAACAAGACGTTCCCAAGCAGCTTCCCATGGAGTCACAGACCTCTTTGGGCTCAGCTCCCAGCTCCAGCACGGGGACATCCATGGGCTGCAGATGGGCCTCCAGTCCAGTGTACATCCTCACCCCCTGGCTCTGGGAGTCCACCCCCACTCTGGCATTGAGTGTCTCTCGTGGTCTCAATTCAGTAACACTTGCCCTTGGGTTCAGCTTTTCTGCTCCAGTGTGGAGTCCTCCAAGGCCTACACATGGGTACCTGCTCCACCATTCAACTTCCATAGGCTTCAGGGACCTCCTTTTCCTTCTCCTACTCCATGCAGTTGAACTGGGTGTCTGAGGTTCTCTGTCCTCCTCCTCCTTCCTCCTGGCAATGAAGCTCTCTCGTTGTTTAGGCTGATGGTCGTCTTTTGTTCAGGTCAATGGCCCCTCCTCCAGGTTCTCTCCACCTTCTTCTTTTCAGGACAGTCCTTCCCCTCCTCCTCAAGGTTCTCTCCACCTTCTTCTTTTCAGGACAGTCTTTCCCCTCACAAATATGGACTTTCAGAGGGACTTCTCTATTACTAAGTGGCTCAGCCTGGGCTGTGGGGTCTCTGCCTTGGAGCCTGTGGAGCTTTTGCTTTCACAAGGTGCACACCACCCCCTGCCCCCCCCACCCCAAACCCAACACAAATACTTCAAAAATACTGAGAGTGCAGACATCCCACTTTCTGAAGAAGTCCTTATTCAACAGCTGAGATAAGCAGGTACCTACTTTCCCAGTTTCCTTGTACTTTGTTTCTTCCTCTCTTTTTTTTTTTTTTTTTGCTGCCTTTTCTCTTCCCTTTTGAAGAGTTTCCTTTACTCAGGAAGAATTTGAGGAAAGCCATAGGAGACACATTAGAGCTCAGCTCACTATACTGCCTTTCTTTTGGACCCTTGGTAACAGTTCAAACCCACTGTATGTAAATCAATTCTGAATCTGAGAGCTTCAGAAAAGTGTGATGCACACAGTGCAATTTATTATGCACTGTGTGCATCCCAAAAACAATACTTCTGCAAACCACAAACCATACATAAATTTGACAACGCATCTGACAATGCAATTCCTCTTCTTCAGAAAGACAAAAACATCAGCAAAGTAGGTGAAACCTTAAGAGAAACCTTAAGAATCGTCTGCCTCTAAGACATATTCTCCCCTTTCTTTTTTAAAGATATAACATTTAAAGAAACAAGGCTGTGAATCTGGATGCCTGCTGTTAGTTTATGTCAAGTTTGACATGCCAGATTAGGGAAAGTAAACAAGGTGAGCAGATCTCTCTATACACCAGTGTAATTCAAATGACATGGGGCTACAGATATGCAGGTTAACACAATGCTTAGCTAACTAAAAATTAGTAATTTTACTGTATACAACAGTAAGCAGATCCGAAAACCAATTACTGTATTGGTTTACTAAAAAAAACCTTCTAAGTTGTGTGAAACCACCACAAGTTGCCACTTACTGTTTTGAGTTCCATAAGAACTTGTTCATCCACTCCTTCATCCAGAAAAACTTCTCGGACATCATTGATGACATCTTCAATTACAGACCTGTACAATTTAGGCTTTAAAAAAAAGTAACTAGTCAGCGTTGTTTTGAAAGAAATTTATCACTTTAACATTAAAATAAGATTTGCCCCCCAAAAAAACCTCTGAAACTGCATTACAGAGTATACTGCATGTTTCCAAGTGGCTAAAATATCCAAGGAGGTAGAAATCAGCAAGAACAACTCAAGCAAGGTGAAAAGGGAAGGGACTGTTCACCATCTCTTGTGACGTATCTATGGCACGAGAGTTTTCAAGTCATGAGGAGTGTAATTCAGGGAAGAGAAAAGGAGATTGTTTTCCATTCTGTAAATTTGTTTCCTGCTTGGCAATGTACATACTGAATATGTAAAAATATTTGCATGTGAGCAAAATATTGATGTCAAAGAACATTAAAAGTTCAAAAGTCTATTAGATAAACACAAAGAAACTTGTTAGTGCTTGCTAGTTCAACAGGAACCAAATACGGCTCAGAACGATCTCCAGCTGAAAAACATTGAAGGCTTAGAAAACTGGAAGCATTTATGTGAGTGTCCTGTTTTTCCTTACACATCTGTTTACAGAAACAGTTGAGGACAGGATATTAGGCTAGACAGACTTCTGGTTTTAATCAGTAATTATGTTTTTAGATCAGAAATTTTTCAGGGGAAAATGCTACAAATACATTATTATTCTATTACTCTGATTTCATGCTTAAACTGTCATTGATAAAGTGAATTGTCAAATCAGTTTAGGTTGCCAAAAGAAGTTGTGGAGTACCCATCCCTGGAGATACTCAAAAAGCTGTCTGGACGTTGTCCTGGGCAATTGGCTCTAGGTGGCCCTGCTTGTGCAGGGGGGTTGCAAGATGACCTCCAGAGGTCCCTTCCAACCCTAACCATTTTGTGAATTTTAAAATGCACATATAATTTTAAAAAGAGAATATAAATACTTGAGGTATCAATTAAAGCACAAAATTTAATTCATAGGATCACAGGATGATTGTACTATGCACATGCTGTACCTTTTAAACAGTACAGCTTGGACCTCAATGGTATTTTGGTTGGGTTTAAATATCTGTGCTATCTAATTGCAAAGTAGCACTATGAGCTCTAAATTAGGGCTGATCAACCTGCAGCCTGTGAACCATGCATACTTCACTGACCAAGGCTGCTCCTTGGGCTGGGGGTAGACCATTTTTAAGCTGATCTGAAAGCAGAATCGTAGAATCGCCTGGTTGGAAAAGACCTTTGAGATCATCGAGTCCAACCGTACCTACCCACTACCAAACCGTATCTTCGAGCACCTCCACCCCGTCCTGTAACTCCCTTAAGCAATAAATCCCAAATGACACCGCACACATCACATACGTTGTATATATGCAAAACAACCATTCTGTACTCGTGCAGTGGGTTTGGCACCCCAGGAGGGCTGTGCCTCCAACACGCGTGCAGAAAACCTGCACCAAGCACATGCAGTTAGTCCAGCAGTGCTGCAACTACACAAACATACTGCATACACTTGAAACATCCATTTTATGCATATGCAGTTGCTTAATGCATCCCAGGAGTGTTGAATTTGTTACAGATATGCTAAAGATTACATCGTATGCATTTTACGGAATTGTTACGCCTCTGTTATGGAACAATGGAGGGGAAACAGCAGCACATGATTTACTGGTCCAGGAAAAAGCTGAGTGGCCAGTAAGCACAAAAAGAAGTTGAATATCTTTGCTTTTAAATGCAAAAAAAAACCCCCCCGCAAAATCAAAAACCTTAAAGAAATGCACTGATATTACAAGAGAAAAGAACCAGATATGGGAGCCTAGAACTAAGAACTTAGCAGTCTGATGGTTGCTTTCTGCATTACGTCCTTAGTGTTTAAAACAACCTCTGTATTGGGGCATACTCAAGTGATTTTTTTCTTAAAAAAACCCCACAACCAACCAAGCAATAAAAACAACCACCACCCTTAAAAAAGAAGAAAAAAAAGAAAAGCAAAAAACCCCACCCAAAAATCAATATATCACTCTGTATTGTTGGCCACACATCAATATTTTGGCAAATGGCATGTTATCAGCACCCTATTTTTTAATTCATTTTACATTTCATCAGTTTGCCACTTTTCAGCTTTAAAACATGCTGCTGCAAATCAAATAGTTGAAATGCCAGAATTCATCCTTTCGTTACTTGTCTCTCCAAAAAAAAATTCTGGCCTCAAGTAACAGGGCAAGTTTGCTGTCCTTGAAAACTACGTTTACTACCTATGTCCAAAACTTAACTTCTCCCAGAGAAACCAAACATACCAGACTGCTTGCAGATTTTTTTCTTTCAAAACAATACTGCATGCTCACATATGCAGCACTAGTATTTTAAATCTGCACAGTGATTAACTTAGAAATATCAAGCATCATTAATAGGATTATTTTTCCACTTTGATTTAATTCACAGCAGATGTAAAAAGACATTCTGCTTAATAACATTAAGTCCTATTATTTCTATAATAAAACAAATTGCATAAAGCTTCTACAATTCAACTAGCACAGAAACGCTACTTAACCTATTCCGTATATTGTTCCTCATTGTTTTAAAAGCACCTGTTTCTTAATGCCAAAACCACATTCTGAAAACAAACATGCTTAACCTCAGATGTGAGTTACTTCACTTAAGTCAAAGGAACTACACCTGTATATCTGAAATTTTCATCAAAATTCCTGCAGGATGAAGACTGCTTTTTCTCCTTAATTCCTCCTCTCCTTAAATCATCTATTAGGTCCATTTTTCTAATAAAACAGATTTTACACAAACAGGCTCTAACAATTTCCACCAGTAGTCACTGCCTCCTACCTCCACAGTCAGGCATTTTTGTAAGGTTTATTTACAAAGCTTCCTCAGTCTATAAAGCTCTAGGAAAAAATACCAACATTCAGATACAACAAACTGACCCTACAGCCCAACAGTCTGCTTGGGTATCTTTCCTTTTTCCCCTGTGTAGTAAAGGGAAAAAAAAACAAATTCAAAGAGCAGGATGCTAGTTTCTAACGTCCAGCATTAGTTCAGCAAGAGAGCAGAAAGGCAGGTTAAGAGCAATGATGTTCACTCTGCCACTGGCACAGCGTCCTTCTGCCCAAGCAAGCGGCTAAACCCCCCAAAAGAGAAGAGCCCGGCAGGGTGCGCTGAGCCTCGCAGGGCAGGCTGACAAACCCACACGCAGTTTGTACGCGCACGCATCTGTCTGCAGGAGCCACACAGCCCACTGCATCTAAAGATGGGTCAGAATTCTTCCACGCTGTTCTAATCATGCAGTACCACAGTATATGATACACTCATGGCTGTAGGATTAGAAGGAAGGGAAGAGAGAAGAAAGTATCAGCACGCTTGTAGCCAAACAGCATCTCTCTGATTTCACCTACATGTGTTTACGCAATATTCAGAAAAATCCTGTCCAGTTGAAAACTGTACACTCTGACTGAACATCCAGCCCAGGTGGACACAACACCCTCCACGGAGGCAGCAGCAATGCCTTCAAGAGCCACCCATAGTTGGATTTTGAAGAATATCACAGAACACTACCTCAACAGAGGCAAAGCCAGTAAAATTACGAAACAGCCTTAAGCCCTGGTCTTTAAAAAGAATCACACTGTATTGTTTTAGATAAACACTAAGCATTCACTTTAAGCATTACTTATATGATGCTCAAGCTGTTTATAGAAACCACCAAAGACCCTAGAGTTGAATAACAAAATTACTCTCACACACTGCTTACTCAAAAAATAAACATGGGAACACAATTACTGAACAAATCTAAAGATGGGATATCAGGTGAGTTAAGCTTTCCAATAAATTTCCGCATTCAGTCAGAGAAAGCAATGAAAACATAATGGAAACTTTATAAGATTGCTATTAAAATAATCATGCTTTCATCTGGTTTATATTAAAGTGCCTCCCTCATAAAGAGTACATTGTTGTAAACTCCAAGCTCTTTTAAGATCAAAATACTTAAATCACTCTTCAATAAACACTATTCCAAACACTTACTAGAGATTAAAGACAACAATTAAAATTCCTGATTTATTAGATACAACCACAAACACATAGAAAATATTTGAAAACTAGTGCTTCCCCCTCTGGGAACATAAGGAAATGATTATATTTCACTTTCTCTGTGCATCTTGTAAAGAAAACTCCGAGTATGGTGAGACTGCTACACACACCCCCCCCAATCCGAGGAGCAATCAGCAAGTTATTTTAAGAAATGCCATGCGCCTTTGGGGGCTTACACTTCCTACATTCCTTCAGTTTCAAGGGTACAAAAACTGCATCTCTTTGTAGTTATTACCACAACCCTTAAGATTTCAGCAGTTCAGGTTTCAAATAACCAACACATTATGGAGAGATATACCACGGCACGCTTTGTGCGTCTGACAGCAATTTGTTCCTGGTTGCTTCTGCAGTTATCCCTGAAACGTCGCTAATCTTTCTCCTGCCTGTGCAGTTACAGCTGGAGGCTAGCTGTAGGACAGCTAGAGGAGCACACTGTAAAGGTAACCAGTTTTAGTCACATTTACATCAAAGATGTGTGCAATGAGAAGTAACACATATAATTTACATTGTAAGCATTAAAATCTGAGCTTCTTTATGTTAACGTGGGCTCTTACAAGTAAGTTATCTTTGTCACCTACAAAATCTTACACTGCGTTTAACTGTTATTGTCTTGTATTTGTCCTTCATTAGGAAGGACAGAGTTATTGCCATTCAGATTTGATCAGATACTGGTGTGGTACTATTGACACATTAGGCTCAGAGTCTAACTTCCACCTGGTTGTAGTATTTCAAAGTGTTCCTATCCATCTTCGGTAACCCTAGCGCAAGCATTGCAATCCTTACTATTGAATGAGACCTGAATTTGTCAAAGTTGACCATGCAGTACTGCAACGTTTTATTCCTTAACTGAAAATTAGCCTAAAGCATACATACTGGAAGCAGGCTCATTTAAACTCAGCTTTTGCTATTCCAAACACAATGTTCAAACAGAGACACCT